AATATATTGGTCTTAACTCAAAGGATACGAATAATTTTTATGTGCCTACTTTCTGCGGACAAGTAGGTACAAAGTACAACAACAACATACAGGCGCGAGTGAAAGCTGCCGCAAATAAAAATGCTAGATTTTATTGTACATATGAGAATTGTCGACAGATTCTACTTTTTCTGGTGGGATATTTACTGCCTGCCTAGACGCGCAAACCCAAGACCGGGGTCAGCGAAGGTCTACCATTGTGCAGTCTTGAGACTAGTGTGTTAGCATTTGCACCACTTTCCTAATATGTGTTACTTTTAGCGATTTTCTGGTAACAAATACGAACAATGCTACGTCAAATCAAGATATAGCCGGAAGCAAAAACCTTTTATCTCTCGAAGTTTGAGAGAATAGTACATCCCAGTAATTGTCCACATATACCCCACTTCCCTATACCGTGGTTTATCAACAGATTTCTTGCTTACCAGCAAGTACAAAACCAAAATAGAGGCGCGGGTGAAAGCTGCCCAGGATGCTGCGGTGAACATCACTAACCTTAAGCAGTCGAATGTGGTGCTAAACTCCATCCACAAAGACCCCATGCGAGAGCCACGGTTGAGGGGCCGATACCCATACTTTGTGGTAAGATATCTGATAGTGCATATACATGACGTGTGTTTGTAGGTGCATGCATGTGGAAAGTGCTTGTAAATGTACATCACCAATCTCAAACAGTCGAATGTTGTGTCGAATTTGAAAAACCCATTTACAAAGTCCCTATGCGAGGAATACAGTTGAGGGGTCGATAATCTTACTTTGTGGAAAAGTATCTGATTGTGCATACACCTGAGATGAGCTTGTGAGTGTAATTATAAAAGTAATTATGATTATGTGGTCATCAAGTGATAGTATTCGTTAAGAACATTTCGGTTAAGTAAAACTCTTCCTTCATTACAGCTCCAAGATGTATCCAGGTATCCGCCATACATCGGACCTCTGATCGTGAACATTTCATTGGTCCTACAGCTACAACATAAGTTCAATAGTCAATTAACTAGCTCCTTCCACCCGCATCAATGTTATTCTTCATACAGCTTTAATGGCTAATGGACAATTATTTAGTACCATTCCACCCTCACAATCCTCACTATACAGCTACGGGGTGATAAGGGAATGACTTTGGCGTCACGCTGCAGGGATGCATATTTGTTGCTGGAAGAATGGGCCATCGATCCACACAACACCTTAAGTTTAGATTACGAGGTGAGATTGTCGGGCGGCTTGTTTGTGTATATAGAGTTGGGTTGTGCGTGTGTGTTTGTACTTGTCTGTAAATGGATTTATGGGTGTGTTGTGTGTATATGCATATATGTATATAGTTGGCGTCAGTACGGTGCGTAGGTTTGTACTTAAGTCAATTTATTTCGCACATGATGCTGAGGTTGTGTATTTTGGCTACTTTGTGCCAGAATAGTGTAGGTACAACTGATTGCGTGCGACTACTACCTAATGTGAGTTTTCTTCTAAGCATTTGCATCCACAGTAGACAGATTGGTAAAGATACCGGTTGGAGAAGCGTATCAGAACAAATCCAGAGGTTACCATTCAGGGTATAGAGCGATCGCATTTGCATTACATTACTCGTATGAAATAACCTTCCTCTTGTCTTGCCTGATTTCATTGCCAGTACTATATTACAAAGCAAATTATTCCGGCGCTGAACCGGCTGTTCGGGACAATCAGGTTGATCGAAGGTGAGAAAAGATGGGAAAAGAGCAACAGTTAGAGGTCACAATGTACTGTTGTTCACTAGCACGTCAGCAATACGATACACATGTGTGCGAGATTCTCTCAGCAATAGATATGCACAACTCAGCACCCTGTGTGTTTGTTTGTCTCCGAATATGTTCACGTGATGGACGGTATGGCCACTGTTCGCAATCTGTTCTCCATGCGATTCGCATGTTTCTGTGTTAGCTCAGAACAATCTATGCAAGTCTAACTGTGTATGTATTTTCAATGAATGCAGGCACAGCTACTGTCACAATCAGTTCTTCCATATGCATATTAAAAATGCGAGTCGCATGTGTGTGTCAGCTCAGTACGACTTATGCACATCTATCTGTGAAATAAGTTTTTGCTGGTGTATGTTATGTGTCCGAGTATCTTCATTGCGCGGAGCTTTGTATGATACATGGTTCACAAAACACTGTTGTCGTGTATACTTATTGCTATACATATTATGATATTTAAATCGTGCGTGATCCTTTCCGCTATAAGGGTTGGTGGATAGGCCGCTACTTTTGTTCCTGAGCAATTCGTTGTGAATGAAAGGCGACTGCCATGATACTGCCGTTTCCGCGAGGTTATGTCTCATAAATTAAAAGTGGCGAATAGAAACCTACCGATTCTCACTCGTAGTCTGTCTCAGTTACGGCAAGTTCGACGAGTATACACTAGATATTTGGGCTCAGCACGACACCTGGCTCGTTTTGATTGATATTTAGCAAGTCAACCAACATGCACAAACGCCGCATAACTGAATGTTGTTTATGCTGCTCAGTATTAAACGTGGCGGAAGCGTCAAGCTTTGGAGGATTGCCATACTAAACCGAGAATCCTAACAATCTCTCGATCGGAGGTGTACAAACATGGGAAAAGCAGATCTACAAAAGGTATTATATCACCGTTGGCCGCCCTATCTATCAACCTCTCATTGTCTCTTCAGACTACAGGTCAGCAGACCTTATTGCTAAGCTACTCACGGTTTGTTAATATTATAGGACAAGATGGGTCCATTCCTGTCAACGGAGTGGATGTGAGTTTGTGGTACGAACAGCTCCCCACCCAAGTAGACTTGACCTCTGAGGCCGATGCTTACTCGACACTGCAGTACAAGCCAAGCACACTCATGCACAGGCGGCGCTATGTGCAGATCCAACAGGCTACCGTGGCACAGTTCTTCCAGCCCACGCGTTGTGTCCTGTGCAACGATCCCAAGGCGGTTGTGAGGTGCGTGACACGAGTTTGAATCCTCGATTATGTGATGTAGTGCACGGTATATGTGATATGAACATCCCAAAAATATGGTATAGTATCTAAATACATGGTATAGATTGCAATTCATCCGGGGGATGCCTAGAAATATAGTTGTACACGGTCAGTCACGGTGTTGCAGTCCTTCCAGTCTACGTGATGTATGCTGGGCAATGTCCCCAACCTGTACCCAAGTAAACCCCTAAACGAAGGTCTGTGTGCTCGTACCTAAGTAATGAGCTACGTGTATACACACCTGATCCGTCGATTCTGCGTATTAATCTTCAAGTACTTCGCATCAATATACAAATAAGTAGTACAAGTATCCAAATGTGTGGTATGGATACGAAATATATGGCTCGGATGCCCAAATATGTGGGTGTTGGTTTTGTGGGGGTGCACAGTGTCGCAATTCATCCAGCAAACATGATGTGTTCCGATATACCTAATTGTTCGTCACAGTTTTATCGGTGACTCGTCAGCGATGCGCAAATGCGTTGACAAGACAAGTACTAGGTATCAGGCTGCGATAAACCGAACGACTTGTAGAATGGATTTGAAGCGTTCCCTTGTCTCTTTAGTCTGAGCTCGTTGATAACAATCTTAGAAATTTCAAATCGGATGTGCATCTGTGTGCTTATAACTACGCATCTGTATTCGAGTGTCACGTAGACGAATCTCACTCGTCGGTTTAAGCTTACTACAAGTCAAGACCCTTATTTTTAAACTAGGGCCATTGCGTATGTACTGTACTATTTGTATATCCCCAAATCTTGACATTGCCAACGATGTTAAAACACGCACAAGTGACGAGTGCCCAATAGACTACCCTCAGTTAGCGGCCATACTTACTTCTCACAGCATAAGCTTGTTGTATGGACCAGTTTCCATGCGCACCAACTAAACGTGTTGTTCTGAATCATGTCTGGCCAGGGATGCACAATTACGTGTATGCGACGAATGTCTGGTAGACCGAGCGTGGTGCACCTATCAACTACAGGATACCATCACCTCCCTCGAGTCAAAGCTAGGCGCATACGAAGAGGTATGGTTTGTGTTCGACACACCCACCCACGCGTGCCGGACACCGCTGCTTATACTCGATTAATTGCAATGCGGATTTCCAATCGCATCACTTACAGACGCTACTATCACGTTATTGCGCATGATGATATTTTAACACAGTCTTGCCACCATGAAGTACTAGTATGTCGACTTACATTCCACGTCTTCACGCTGAATCGTTGCATCACACTGGTCAAATCCGCACTGCATTCCATCTTGGAATGCAAAAATTGTAGTTGTTTGATCGTTCCCCGAATGTAATTTATCGACAGGAGGGTCTATTTATAGTTCGGTACTCACACCATCACACGTATCTAATTCTTCTCACCACAGTTCTGCAATCGCTGCTGTGGTTTCAATGTGGCTGAGGATGGCAAGAGTGCGTGTGTTTCCATTGACTGCCGCATGTTCTACCAGCGTGTACGAGCCGCCCGACAGCTGCAACAGCAGAAACATAATGCCATAGACACCGACGCAGCAATAGAAATTGAATAATAGTAGTGTCGAAGTTGTGCTACTCGTACGTGTATAAAATTTAAAAAAAAGTAATTTCTATTTCCCTGATCGAGACATTCGGCAATTCTTGGAGCAGAAACAAAATACCATATACACCACAAAAAAAAAACAAAAAAAAAAGGCTTTTTTAGGGGCTTATGGTATGTATACAAACATATGTACATGTATTCTATCGCCATGCACGCGGCACCCGGTAATTCCAGCAGCAGAAAGACATGTCATAGAAGAAAAACACAATTCTAGAAATAAATTAAAAATACTTATAGGGGCTTATTGTATACGTGTTAATATCTTGCAAGCCTCTTTATTGCCATGCACGAAACGGACGGCAATACTAGCAGTAAAAACAAAATACAATAAGACACCCACACAGTATCAAAATGCGGTATGCACAAGTTGTACTGGGGGAATATCGTGTATCCATACATACATTTTCAGAAAAACTTTGAAACCGAAAGCGTAAGCTTTTCTCAAGTCCCAATTCACTTCATCACCGGGTTATTCTCCGTAACGAAAAATCTGTCCGTAACGCTTTTTGCCTATTTCCAGACCCCCTTGGAGTCCCCGTTGAAGTTCCCAAAGTGAATTCCCATTTTAAGAAATATACCCCTATCCCTGTGAGAGGCTGAGACCACACTCCTTCAGCAAGATTTTTTTAAAAACATAAAGATAAACGGAGATATGAACAAATATATTACCCCTATGGTTATACACTTACAGACCCCGCGGCGTCCCAGCCGTGATTTATCAGTATGAATATGTCGCCTGGTGCCGCACGGCACTACCAGCAGCAGATGTATACGGTCACCGACACCGTCACAGTATTTAGATATATAGATGTATATATATAGACATAGACATTATATATATATATATATATGCGTGTGTGTATATATATATATATATTATATAACAATATATATATATATATATATATA